TCACGTTACTTACCCGTTATATCACGAAACATACTCGTTATATCACGTTACATATTCGTTGCACCATGCTATATTTTCGTTGCATCACGTTACATAATTGTTATACCACGTTACGAATTCGTTATATCACGTTACACGTTCGCAACATTACGTTACATACTCGTTATATCTCGTTACATATTCATTATATCACGTTACTTACTCGTTATACTACGTTACATATTCGTTATACCACGTTATATATTCGTTATACCATGTTACATTTTCGCTTTATCACGTTACACATTCGTTACAACACGTTACATACTCGTTATATCACGCTACATTTTCGTTATATCACGTTACATATTCGTTATATTATGTTACATATTCGGTATACCACGTTACACATTCGTTATATCACGTTACATATTCGTTATATCACGTTAAACATTCGTTATATCACGTTACACATTCGTTATTTCATGTTACATATTCGTTATATCACGCTACATTTTCGTTATATCACGTCACATATTCAATATATAACGTTACACATTCGTTATATCACGTTACACATCCGTTATATCACGTTACATATTCGTTATATCACGTTACATATTCGTTGTATAACGTTACATATTCGTTATATCACGTTACATATTCGTTGTATAACGTTACATATTCATTATATCATGTACTACTTTTGCCGTCAGGTTCATTTTTGAGAAATAGTTCCATTTGTACCCCCTCCCATCCCTAACCCTAACCCTAACCCACTCCCCATCTAATTGTACATGCTCCTCCTAAGGACATCTATAGTTATCTAGAGTGGGCGTATACAAATGAATTGGGTAACTGGGAGTGAGTGTTAGAGTTAGGGTTAGGGATGGGGGTACAAAAGGAACTCTTGCCCATTTTTGTATTGTGTGGTACATTTATGTTATCGTATTGTATGTTTGTTATGTCATATGGTACACTCGTTACATCGTTTTGTGCAGTTGTTTCGTATTATGTATGTGATATGTTTTGTTGAAATTCGTTATATCGTCTAGCATAATCACGTGATATTACTGACCAGGTCAAAAGTCATGGAAGGACAAATACATGGTATATAGTATGAGAAGACATACATGTATATATGACAAGTTAGACTTTAAAGCGGGGGAGTCGTCACCTGCGCATGCGTCAGATGGCCATAGCGTACATTGTTTACAAACAAGCGTCTACCCACAATCCTTTGCGTTTTTTAGCGTGTGTTGTTATCGTCGCTTCGGACTCAATTCCTGTGCGTGCGCGGGTGGCGATCCTCCCGCTTTAAGCCATTAATACGAGACCCTCCCGTTATTGCAGACGTATATTTTCTGGTATATTATTGATTACTGAACTTATTTCTGTATTTTGATCGTCTCACTAAAACCCTTATTAGCCTTATTGTCAGTGCATGACCATTCGGAGAAAAAGATAAAAGTAGTCATTTTACCTTATTACCAAAGAGGGCGCACTTCAACGATCCTCTACTTTCTAGTTCCCATTTCGTCGAACGTTGTCTGAACTGAAACTTATTTTTAGTGTTCAATCTGTTCTTCCGTGTATCCGGTGTTATTCCTTGGGCATGCATTTATCAATTATGTTACAGAGAAAATACTGACATATATGAAATAAATAAAGAATAGTACGACTCGTCTTATCCCCAAAACACACGCAAAAATGTCCCAGACTCGGGCGTGTCTAAGTCGATTTCATTGAAACGTGACATTGACAAACATGGTATGTAACTAATGCACATCGTTTTGTTTTGCCACTTGATTCAAAATGGTATTTTGTCTCACGTTTCTTGCCCAGTTCTCAGAGACACCTTCACTGATTTAATTTAAATTTGGCGCTTTGCTTGTTCTCTTGAAAATGTTTTCGGGTTTCAAATTTAAGAGAATTCTTGGACGTTTTTCCCAAAACACCAACAAAAACAACAATTTAACTTATCAACTGTTTCTCTGCTGAGAGCGATTTCATTCTTTAACATAATAATGGATTACTTGTGCACGTCATTTTGTTTTGTGTTTCTGACACACTTGACCAATCTGGTACAAGGGCAAGACATACAATGGATTTCACTTGCATGACAAATTGTTTTTGACATCCGTCAATCGTGTCTTCAAATGTAATCGATGAATGGCATGGCAACGGATGGAGGGTACTCCCATAGTGGAAGTATCCCGGTATGCTGCGCTGTTATGGCTCCCCATTTTCGCAGTCAAGCCGATCTTTTTGACTTCTATTTTTAGGATTGTCGGTCATTTTCGCAGAACATATGCCATTTTTCATGACGAATAACGCCAGTTTTCGAGCCAACAGGCGCCCTTAAGGACGGGTCCAGCTTTGTCCTCGCTGCGGCGTACTCCCATCCACCCAATTCTAATTGCATCACGATCTTAGCTTAGTTTGACCACTCACAATCGTTAACATCTATGGCACATCAGCTTGCTTACAGTTTGATATGATTGATCGTTATCTGCACTCAAATACTGTTACTAAACGATTTAACTTACGACCATTTTAATACACACTATTAGTCACGCATTGCCCATCTTTCACCTATGACCTGGTGTTTAAAAAACACAGTATTACAGACCTTGTGGGATGAGCAGTTCAATATTCAAGCCCTTCTACACCATGTGGGTTGTCTATACCAATAAGCATTCTGTCACCTGTACTACTCCATATGGATTGTCTATACCAATAAGCATTCTGTCAAGCCCTTCTACTCCATATGGATTGTCTATACCAATAAGCATTCTGTCAAGCCCTTCTACTCCATATGGGTTGTCTCTACCAATAAGCATTCTGCCACCCCTACTACCCCATATTGATTGTCTATACCAATTAAGCATTCTGTCACCTGTACTACTCCTTATGGATTGTCTATACCAATAAGCATTCTGTCACCTGTACTACTCCATATGGGTTGTCTATATCAATAAGCATTCTGTCACCCCTACTACCCCATATTGGTTGTCTATACAAATAAGTATTCTGTCAAGCCCTTCTACTCCATATGGGTTGTATATACCAATAAGCATTCTGTCAATCCCTTCTACTCCATATGGGTTGTCTGTAGCAATACACATTCTGTCACCCCTACTACCCCATATTAGTTGTCTATACCAATAAGCATTCTGTCAATGTGTCACACTTCGCAACAAACAAATAAAATAAAATAACAGAAAATATTTATAAAATTTTATTGTTACAGGCTTTTAAAACAATAAAGTTTATACATGTCTCAATATTATATAATAGATGGAAAAGAAGTAATTATTGGCCTGTTTTGAGACAGATGACATACAGAAAGACCAATGCGTTAATTTATGCCGAAGCCAGAAATTAACATTCCACCTTCAAGTCAGATGACATAAAGACATTGTTGCAATACATATATTGTGTTGCCTTGACCATAAAAGCAAAGTCCCATTAGCTCTAGTACCACAGTGTGCCCTAAATATATTTTGCACAAGATACCGTTCTACCATACTTGTACCCTGCTAACTAGCTGTTACTCTGCCAGCTATATTTACCAAACTGGTACCCTGCAAAATGTCCACAAACTGTGGCAGACATTATCAACCACCTGTGTACCCTGCTGTGGCTGCTGTAACTATGGCTTTCAAATTCTGAAATTCATTCCAGTAATGGCAGTGTATCTAGGTGTATGTATTACATATTGTTTTCTGTATAATCTTCACCAACAAGAAATCTTGATACCGCAGTGCAGCACATGTAAGGCACTTGTTGGCATGGCAACAGTGTTATTTTGTTTATAGAGCATTGGGAAAGTCATCTTCACAACTTGATTAAGAGAGAACAAATCTCCCTCATACTGGTCAGTTGGTGAATAAAGAACAAAACTTCTTCACTTTGTAGCATGTGTAGCTTGTCCATGGTGCATGGTTAGTCGGCCAGTTAGAAAAAAAACACAATCTTGTTCAAGTTGGATGATTGACACAGGTTGTCTAAGGTGATGGTTGACTTGATGGTCAAATGTTATCTTGGTCAGATGCTAACCATTTTTTACAATAAACATGTGAAGAAGCAAAGTTGTTTTCAATATGTTGCCACAAATGTCAAGATTAGTGACACAGGTCACAATAATGTCAAGCTTTGTGACGAGGGTCACCATAATGTCAATATCAGTGACATAGGTCATCATAATGTCAAGCTCAGTGGCAAGGGTCACGATGATGTCAAGCTTTGTGACGAGGGTCACCATAATGTCAATATCAGTGACATAGGTCATCATAATGTCAAGCTCAGTGGCAAGGGTCATGATGATGTCAAGCTTTGTGACATATGTCACACTAATAAGTAGATGGCCTGTGCATAAAATACCCTGTCTATGCCTAACACAGCAATGTATACATTGTATATACTATAAAATTTCTATTAAATGAATATCACACTCAGAAAAATTCAGTTCATATATTATATTTCACATATATCCTTTTTTGTATCAATATCTTTTGTATCTGATTGTCTGAGTATGTAGTAATAAATATATAGTGGATTCAGACAACAGCAGATGGTTATAGCGCTCTCTACCATCAACTTTAGAAACTAAATAATAATGTCTATTTTCTATATGCTTTACAAAGCCAAATGTCTTTATACAGAAAATATAATACAACATGGTGGACTATACAGATGTTGGCACATTAGCTACATAGACAATTTAGTTTGCATTAGATAAAGGCACTGTAATGACAAATATGCCACATTGTTTTATTTGACCTTTGACCTTGAGGTAGGTAGCTGGTTAGCAATGATGCACATGTAAGTGTTGATGATGTTGTATTTGACTGCAGACACTGCTACCATTGCTATCCATTGTCACTGCTGCCGTAGCACTGTAAACTTTTTCCCTACTCTTCTGCATCGCAGCTTGTTGCTGGTGCAGGGCGAGAAACTGTTCCCTCTCTTGCTGCGTCACCATCCTTTGCGGATGTGGTTGTTTGTAAATGTTTGTTGTGGCTGAGCATGTTTTTCGTCGTTGTTGACAACACCACACCATGACGACACAAACTAGTATGCAAATGCCCGCAGGTACTCCGATTATCACCGGTAAAGGAATTGCGGTTGAAGGCGAAGGTGTGATTTCATTTAAAATACTGCTAATGTTTAAATTCCTGCCTCGTGCTTTCACAGGGTCTAAGAAAAAAAGAAAATAAAAAGATTGAAATATCATAGATATTTGACATCAATAATATTTGATTGAACGAAAAACACCAATGTTAATTAGCCAGACTAACCCTGAACCTATCCCCATTAGCCCAAACATGTTCCACTAACATTGGTTCTGCCCATTTCACCCCATTATAGTTGTTATCCCATTGGTCTATTACAAATGACCCTGTGCATATTCCATTGGTCAAACCTACTCTACTACAACTCTAGATCTTGTTCATTACATCCATTTAATCACTAAATGGTTAAACCCATTCTAAAAACAATGGTTTCACTTCCACCCATTATCCCAGACAAACCCATTAATAATATAAATTCTAACCTGGAAGGACATCTAAAAATGCTGTCCTAAATTTATAACCCATGGTATTAGCTCCCAGACAGATGTACATTCCGGCATCTTCTTCTGTTGCATGCTGTATTACAAGTTTATTTAAGTACGCTCCATCCGGTCTTGACCAAACTTCGCCCGCCGGTAATACTATAAGTTTTGCACCATCAAAGTCTATGGTTGTGTTCAATTCTTTATTTTTCATATGCGCTTCAACACGTTTCAACCACTGAATGTGTGGTTTAACATCGCTGCGTACTCGACATTGGAATAAGGCGGTCTCTCCATATGCCACCGTTGTATTTAATGGGTGTGCTCCTATCAAATCAGGCTGGCTTGGACCAACTTGCTCTGCAATAATAGACAGGAAAATCATTAAAAAAAAACATGTCATAATTATAGATTTGCTAAAATAAAAGAAGCAGTTTTAGGCAACATTTTCAACTTGCACAAAATTTCAACTGGTTGGTAATAAATCCAAGTTTGAAAAAAAAAATTGAGTGACTGCAACCAGAAAAAAACACAAAAACACAGGAACAACAACAACAAACATTTTTTCCACATATATATTCCTATCAATCTAAGAAAAGAGCAAGGTAATAACCAGAACTGCAATTAATCTAACATAATCCTTGTATTCTACACGCTGGATTCCCTTAGGAGATCTGACTTTAGGTATCGCTAACCATAGAGTGCATCCCAGGTAATAAATAAGAACAATTAAGGACATGTATGCATTTTATATATTATAATGAACTTCCGTCTTCTTTAAAAAACAAATACAGCATAATGATTTCAAGAAAAAAATAACTTAAACAGTTTGTATGGTGAATAGTAAATGATTAAATTTGTTAATTTTAAATTATCCAAGTACTGTAAAATACTTGGAATTAATTTTCGCTACTTATGCTGAACAAATGATCCAGTGAAAATAAAATCCAGCGAATATACCTTTTTTCCTATATTTTACCTACAACTCGTCAAAAATCAGTGAAAATAAATTCCATACAAAGCATCCAAAAAGTCATTTCAGCGAAAATTAATTCCAGCTAAAATAAAGTATTTTACAGTAATTAGTAGTAAAAAAATTCTATTTTTTTGTCACCAAAAACACAGACTGAAACATGTTAACATACAGACTGTAATATGCACAGATCCATAGCATTAACTTCAATGAGAGACAATTGAATAATTGCAGTTTTTCGCAACATACTGATTATAAAAGTGGAAAAATATTTTTAAAAACTGTTGCCATTAAATAATAAATAAAAGGCTGAATTAATTGAAACAGATCTAAGTTTTGAAATAATGATAAATGTGAACCAAGTAATCGCTTCAAAATTAGACTAAGACATGTCTGAGAAACGGAAATACGGAAACCAAAACACAAGGGTTTTTCAAGTATGTCTGATGGGAACAAAAAAGTATTAAGAATGACAAACAGGCCAGCCTGGCACACCTGACCCACTGTTATGTTACAGCCAAAGCCACATCCCACCACCCCAACTACAAATACATTGATAGTATGTCACCCCCTTCCCTCCATATCATTCTTTATTAGTACATTATTCACTCCTTATCTCATCCTCCATGAACTTTATAGTCAACTTAACCCCTTCCCAAATAACACCTTGCCTTCTATTAACCTTTTCAACCACCAGACTTTCTTGCCCAAATTTTTCTGCACTTTTTTTCATATAATTCTGGAAATGAACTCTAATTTTAGAGCCAACCAAAAAAAATTTGAGTCAATTTAAAGTTTTTACTCACAAAATTTTATCCCAATCTTCTGAAGAAAAGTGCAAACTATAAATGGGACTATTTTGTGAATTTGTGATGAAAAGAGGGAACTGGTGGTGAAAAGGTAATAACCAAGATCAAAATGTGAATGTCAAGTTGTGAAGTGACCATTATGGTCTTCAAAAGTAGCACTGTGTGGGGTTTATAGATCAGAATAACAGCTGCAATTATATCTATCATTTAACAGGTCAAAGTAGGTATGACTCCTGTGTACAACAAAAACAAGCTTAATGATTAACCAGCAATGGCCACACCTCAAACACATTCATTATTAAACATTCCAAGCTTTCACTACTTAAGGTAGAGATGCAGTTTATTTGTGAATTTCAATCAAAAATATTTTTTTTCGTTTTTTATATAGATTTTTATCTAAAGAACATTCTGTGAAAATTTGACCAATGAATTCTTATTAGAACACCGTTAAAATTGCTGGTTATTTTCTGATTAAAAATAAAAAACACTCACACGTGGCAATGTTTATGTCCAATTGCCTAATTTGCATGAATAATCAAATAACAGGACCTTTGATTGACAATATGCAAATCGAGATTGTCGGGTCATAGTTCATTCAATTCACGCGCATGTGCAATTATTCTCAAATCAGTTATCGCTCGCTAGCAAACCAAACATTATATTTCCTCAGCGTTTTTTCCTAATTTTTATCATTACATTATGCGTGGTGTGAAAAGAAAGAGAGGTAGAAAGAAGATTCAGATGATTTCTATGTCGGAAGAGGCAAAAGCTACACTGAAGGCATCAGCCCGCCGAACGAAAAACAAAATCGATGTG